GTCCCCGGTCCGGTACGGGGGCGACACTGAGGGTTGCGATCCGTTGCCGGACACGGAAAAAGACAAAAAAAAAAAAAAAAAAAAAAAAGAACAGTGAGCAGACATGGGCAGCGTCTGCATGGGGCTTTGGTGCATCCGCCCCCTCTGGGCCCGGGGACTCTGGCCTCCTGCCGTGGTGGCAGTACTGCCCAGGCAGCTGAGCCCTGCGTGGGACAGAGACACAGGCAGGGGACGGGCTGCCCACCACACTGCCCCAAGCTTGCCCACATACTGCACAGCATTACACATGAACTTCCCTGGGTTTCTCCAAATCGATATTCCACCTGCAAACAGGGTTGGCCAGTCTCGCAGAGGCCTTCCCATCCTCACCCATGTGTCCTCACCCTAGTTCTGGGTCGGCATCGGTAGGAGACTGGCTTCCTAGAGGCGGCGGGCTTCTCACGAGAGGCAGACACCCCCAGGGGAGGCCAGCACAGCCCCACCATAACAGGCTCACCCAGCAGTGGCCTGACAGATGCCTGATGAGTAATGGTGTGGTCCAGATCCCCTCCTTCCCCCCACACGAGGCACCCTTTGCCCCTCAGACTGCTGAAGACCCCAGCCCTGCTCCCATCCCAGTGTTCCTGTCCACGTGGCCCCACTCTGCTCGTTTGGAAAGGACTGCTAAAGAGAACTGCATAGGGCCCCTGGGGGCTCTTGGAGTCTCAGAGCCCAACGGCAGGGCCCTGTGTGAGCAGCAGACTCTGGGACATGTGCTGGGTGCAGGCCAGGGAAGCTGAGCTCCTTGAGCCACCTGTCAGGCATCCTCGGCCTCTCCCACCGAGGTCTGTGGATCCTGATGGTGTACAGGGTTTCGCTTAGAAAAGTAAAGATTAGCTGCCAGCACAGCCAGGCGGGGCCTACTGCTGCCTCTTCCCTGGGGAACCTGAGGAGGGAGCCTGGCCACCAGCATGACTGGGAGAGGGGAAGCCTGCCACCTTCAGGGCTGATCTCACCTCCAGAGCCTTGGACACAGCAGCTTTCTGATATATTTTAAACACAGATTTTTCAGGCCTCTTTTACATCTCCTAAGCAAACAGAGGAAGTCGTTAAGAACAGTACCCTACACAAGAGTGGGTCAGACACAACCCGACGTCCTGGAGAGACCGTGCCTCAGCAGAGGTAGGAAGTGTTTCCCAAGTTGGTCAGAGCCGCCAGCAAGCCCTTGCACCAGCCCTCTCCCCAGCCCCCTCCCTCTTTAACATGTTTCTCGTGGCACAGGCAGCTGTTTGCCTGCAGAGATCACGATGTAGCCATGATGTCACAGTTTAGGACTGACCTGAAGAGACATATAATGTTCTCCTCAAATCCATCCGCACGACTGGCTACAACTTCAACTCTCCTAAAACCAGGGCCATGTCGAACCCACCAGTCCTCAACCCCCTTTCCTAATATCACTCTGTCGTCATCTCTCATTTTAGCTGACAGAATTACAAGGTCCAGACGAACAAAGAAAGACTTTTTATTAGCACTGTTACAGGCAATGGTAATGTTACATGTGAGCTGACCCTCAGTGTATGACCCACCCAAGCCATAGCAGATAAATCAGGAGGGAGAATCTATCTGTAATTATATGCAAGTGCAGAAACAGGATCACCCTGAATGTCAAACAAGACTGAAAATCACATTACAAAAAAAGTAAATAAAAATAACACCCATTTTTTAAAAAGTGCCAGCTCTTGAGTGGCAGAGCATCACGTATACCACAGGACACGCTTAAGTAGCTGCAAACACTGACCTGCTTCCCACTGTGCGGGCCAGGCCTGCCCTGGCTTTTACAGCTGAATTTAAGCAGTCCAGATGTTCATCTTCTGGATTTCCTTTCTCTATTTTTAATTTTTTAAGCGCGTCACCCTAACAATTAAGCCAACCATATCTGTCCTAAGTGTTAAGACTAGAGACTCTCCCTTTGTAAGGCTTAAATCTGAGTAAAGAATTAAGAAACCAAACACCAGAATCTTAAAAAGTCAAATGATAGTGGGGCCAGTGCCAATGTAGAAAAGCACTCTAACCCTCCCTTGGAGCTCTACTTTGGTAAATGTTAACGTTTAACCAGTCAGCAAAATATTTAACCCAGTTAGCAAAATTGACACCGTCATTTGAGTAGTTACTCTTGTGCATAGTAAATGTTGCAGGATGAACTCCACGTCTGATGAAGCAGATCTGAAAAACAGTTTGCAGAAAGTGTTCCTCCCCTCAACACCACTCGAAGCCCAGGGAAACGAGCATACCCCGCAGCAGCTGTGGCTGCGGTGCTCGGTGGCAGTGCTAAATCGTCTGGTAGCCGGCGTGACTCCTCTTCCTGCCGATGAGGTAGGCGATCAGGACGATGAGGACCAGCCCCGCCAGGGCGCCGCCCACGGCGATGGGGATCAGCATGCTGTTCTCGTCCAGCAGACACTCTTCCACTGCGAAGACACGGGGCACGCGCTCCGCTCATGCACACACCTCGCCAGCAGCTCTCCCCGCCCCGGCCTCCCTCATCAGTCAGCACAGGAACGGGCTTAAACTGAGGTGGGAGAGTCCAAGTCCAGCCACCCACCCCTTGGAGAAGCCCCTATGTGTAGACACTGGCACTTTCCACGTGGCTGAAGAGTCACAGGTGTTCGCCTACATGAGAATCCATGGGTGCCACTCAGTGGGGCGATGGCCAGTCACCCGTGCTGTGCCCAGGGCCACTGGGCCCTTTGGAACACTGGACACACCAGACAACACCTTACATTCAACTTACACGGGAGAAGAGCCACCCCATTCTTGGAATGACTGCCTTATTCTCAAGTGGTGTCACATCTCCCTGTCTGGAAGACGTGCTGAATGTTCTGAAGTGAGGGGAGTTTTCTCTAGGACATCTCAGACTGGGAAGAGCAAACAGCTCTCTGTGGAGGAAAAGGGAACCTGCTCCCAGCCCCACACAGAAGCTAGGCACTTCCACTGCTGCCATCGCCGTCCATGCTGCGCTCCAGCACTACTCACCAGATCCAAACTTGTCACCTTCGACCTTGAATGCCTGGACCCACACTTTGAATATGTTGACGGAAAACGCCTCTGTGACGTGAACGCGCTCCACTGGGTGCCGTCCTCACTCCGGATGTCCAGGGTCACCAGGTGCGGGCTGCAGCTGCCATTGGCTGAGGTCTTGTTTGGGTTGATATTAAACACTCTTATCACAGTCTAAATACGAAAAGCAATAAGTTACCACACTCTTGAAACACAAAAATTCTGAAGCAGAAACTTCAAGGTCACATTCATTTGAACCAGAACTAGAAGGAAAACATTAGAGCTCACAGTAGTGCAGATTTCCCAATTCCAAAACCATTGTTCTTGCTACTTGTGACCGACCCCGTTCAGAAGGACGTGTGTCTGTGTGGAAGGTGCGTATCCTAATGCCGTGCCCCACCCCCCACCCTCTCCCCTCAACAGCCACACCCTTTAAATCTCCTCTCAGTCCCACAGACTCTGTCACCTGTAGGACAGATATTTTAAATGCAAAGTGTAAAAATAATACTTAAACGTTTGTGACAAAAGTTTAAGGAAAATGTGATGTTCTATCCAGGGTCAACAAGCTTTTCCTGCACAGTGCCAAAGAAACACTTCAGGCTTTGTGAAGTCTGTGTCACAACTACTCAGTGTGGAGGGTGTGAACCATGGGAGCGCTGTGTTCCCACAGAACAGTGACAGAGACAGGCTCTGGCCCTGGCTCTGGGTGACTTATGATCCACAAGGCTGCGAGCACTGAGCTGAACTTCCAAAACTCCTTGGTGGCACAGCCCTGTGTCCTACCCCAGCCACGCCCCGTACCGTGTTGTCCTTCTTCTCATAAGTGACGTTCAGCTGCAGCCCCATGCTGGCCAGCAGGCAGGTCCCATTCACATCGCTCACATTGTACTTGTCCACAGAGGGGCTCTCAGGCGGTGGCGGTGATGGTGAGGGGTGGGGTGGCGCGGTGGTCGGGAAAGGCCCGTCCTGCTCACAGCGTGTCTCTGCAGGGACAATGGAGAGGGAATCAGCTGCCCACAGGAAGGAAGGTCAGAGTCCCGAGTTCTGATAACCCTCAGTAGTTACAGTGAGATCAGACTCAGCACTGAAAACCACGTCTCTCTGAACCCACTGCATACTCCAGCTGATGTTCTCAGTGGCCACTTTCTCAATCCTGAGGATGGTACAAGCCCTTACCTTTCTAGAGGTGCAGGACAAGAGTGAGGCCATGCTGACAGCGGATGGCTCAGGGCAGCAGAGCCCAGGGGAGGACTGCAGAGCAGTCTCAGCCCACCTGCCACCACAAAGGACGATTACCTGGATGCACGCTTCCCGTCAGTCCTTGGCAGCAGGCACGGTCACTGGGCATCCTCTCCTGCATAACCAACCTTCCCAACTCATAGTTCCCAGCCAGTGGGGATGGAGTGAACACAGAACACAGAACCACACAGCAGTGTGGTCAGCACAGGGAGCCCAAGAGAGACCAGCAGAGGACGTCTTCAGGCAGGATGGCGGTCAGGCACCCACATGCGAACAGAGATTCACATGTGAATGAGGCCAGACCGCCAGTGGGGATGGAGTGAACACAGAACACAGAACCACACAGCAGTGTGGTCAGCACAGGGAGACCAAGAGAGACCAGCAGAGGATGTCTTCAGGCAGGATGGCGGTCAGGCAGCCACATGCGAACAGAGATTCACATGTGAATGAGGCCAGACCACTGTTTTGGGTTTTTACTTGGGGTGGAGGTGGTGAGGGCAAAGGCAAGCATCATGGTTTAGGGAGAAGGCATGGTGAGAAAGTGTGTGTGAAGACCCCAGAGAGGAGAGAACATCAGAAGTGAGGGAAGTGGGAGTGACACAGAGTGACTGGGAGGTCCGCAGGGAGAGGCCACATGGGACGGTGGGGTCTGCAGGGAGAGGCTGCACATAGGGTGCCCCCCAGGAGACATGCAGAGGAGCTTGAATGTGATTCTGTCTCTCAGAATTTGATCTGCAAAGATTGTTTATAGCCAAAACTTATACTGAAAGTCAAGGCAGACTGAAGCGAGTACAACACTAACTGGACGTGTGTACTGGAGCAGACAGATGGACGTGTCTTCTATGGACAATGCTGCTGACCTCCAAGATACCATCGACCTCAAGATTAGGTCCTGTCTTCAACCACCACGTTTCTGTGGATCATCGAGCAGCTTAGAGTAACTACACAGCGTCCACACCACCTGATCCTTTCCACATTTCTGCTAGGCAGAGTTGTGGGAAGCGGGCCCAAAATATCCAGCATGGGCAAACCCATAGGGAATTTGCTCTGCCCAACTCCATCAATCACTTGCTTATTTCTTACTCAAAGCTGAAATGAAGCCTTCATTTCACTTACATGCCAATTCCTGCCTTCACATTCTACCTGTGTGGAGGAGGAAAGAGGAAACTTCACCCACGACTACACCTCATGAGGTGCTGAACACACTTCTGAAAAGCTCAGCTTTCCCCCCGTTTAAATCCCCTGTTCAGAGCACACAGGGGACCGTGGAACAACTGTACCAAGCTTTGCACAGTGACTTTAACCTTGGGTTGCGGTGGCAGGACAGACAACACTGGCCCGATGCCCCAGACTGGAAATGTCTCAACCCACGGCGTGCTGCCTGACACTGTTCACTGACTGCTCTTGGGCTAAGCTACAGGTTGACATTATAGCTGCACGTAAAAAAAATAGCTTCACCATTACTTCATAATTTGTTACAGAACACATGGTTAAATGTGCAAGAATCAAAACAGGCTGTACTCTAATTCTACTCTGGATGGCCATGCAGCACCGGAGAAAGAGCAACCTGCACTGACTCGACAATCCCTTCTAACGTACGGCACGATCCAGTCCACACATCCATTTTCCTGCCTTGTTTTCATAAAGAAGGCTATAAGATGTCAAGTTGGAAACACAAAACAACGTACAGTCAGGTCTCACCGCCGGTCAGAAAAACTCAGCACTCTGGCAATGTGTGTACATAAATGCCCCCCTCATTCTGTCTGAATTACAAATGCATACCCACACTCTGACCAGCACGCTCCTTCTTTCCTTCCTTAAACACATACTCATCACCAAAGTCCTGCCTACAGAGGGCTCACAGTCTAGGAAAAGAAATTATGGAAAAAAAAAACCCTGCACTGAAGCGGGCTGAGTGCTGCCCTGAGAGGTGGTGTCACAATAGCCTCCAGGGAAACTCAGGGACTCGGGGTAGCCACAGGCGCATCCTGGTCCCCCTCCTGGGAGAGGAGAGTGCAGGGCTGCGCATCCTTCCAGACTCTTGCGCTTTCAAAAGCTCACATATCCCAAGAGCTCCAAATGATTTCCTGGGCAGCAGCAAATATTCACATAACTGGCACAATGCAATTGAGAAGTGTCTCCCAAAGGTCAGAGATATTTAAGCATCAGTTCCTTTAATTTAAGCTAGATAGGAATGACGCTCTGGTTCTTAAGGAATTAAAACAAAAATACTCCCAAATTGGGTAGGAGGTTTGTGACAACCTATATTTAGAAGTAGTTTCTGACTTCTCATAGTCTTAGAAGAGTCCTTTGATTTATCCAGCACATACTCATGCACCAAACCTAAACATGATAAAAAATGAATAAATTCAAGTCCTCTAGAAAATTGCTAAACCCAGATGCCCACGCAGAGCCTCACCCCAAATCTACTGATCAGCAGGGACCTGGGGTTGGGATCCAAAGGACACAGAGCGAGACCAGGTGCCTGGTTTACGCCACCTCCAGGCAGAGCTATCCCAGACCATTCCAGAACGATCATCACCTGCCCTACTTTAAGATCCTCGGGAAAGAGGAGATCTCCTTTCCTTAAAACTTATCTTCATCAAAAAATCTGATGGGAAAGTCAGCTCAGCTTTGGCCTGTGCTTCATTTCCTCTTAGGATAAACCTGTGAGGTCCCCAAGTGTTCTTGGCCATGGCAATGTAGTAAAAGGCAAGGCGAGCAAGGCTCTTGGGTCCAGGCCACTGTCACACTATCAGTTGGGAAGGGGGTGGCACAGAAGCCAGCGCCAGCATCCTCCACCTATGAGTCCTCAAATGAAAATTCTACATCGGCACAAGAAAAGAGTCATTCTGCACCCAAAAGATCACCGCTGCACAGAAATGCTTTCATTCAACAGAACTAAGAATCCATAATGAACAGAACAGACTAGGGGGACATAAAAATACACTTAATGTAATTGACCTGGGATCTTTTCCCTGAAGGAGCTTTCGATTCAGTTAAGAGACAAGAAAATAAGTCATGGACGTGCCTAGGAACCAAAGGGATGAAATCAGCACAACAGAAGATGAAAAAAGAAAGGACTCAATTTTTATAGAAATCAAATATTTTTGAACGATTTATGCTGTACATATGTGGTCAGTTATTTCAAATCTGCTCCTATCTATAGAGAAAACACCAGTCCTTGTCAAAACATGAACCAAATGAGACCCCCAGCAGACACACAGTGAGCAAGGAGACGTGTGCTCTCCAAGGCATCAGCTCTTCCTGAGTCACGCTCGCTAGCGCACTCAGCATTTCTGCAATAGGCTAACAGTTACGTTTTTAAAACGATTCAGGTCACTGCATGGATGGTTATATTTTGGTGTGCTAGTGCAGGCCTCTCACTTACTGAGAGCTCCCTGTCTCTGAGACTGCGGGCCCTCTTCAGCCCTTCTTCCCTGCACCTCCACTGCAGGAGATGCCTGTTGACCCCGAGAACTCTTCTAATCACTGTCCCACCAGCGAAGTCACAGGAGGACGAAAGCCAAAAAACCAGCAAGCAAAGCAGTTTCAAGAGGTGAGGGCGTGAGCCCCGGCCAAGAACCCTCAGTCCTCCGGCGGCTTGGGGTGCAGGGCTGTTTCATGCTCACTCTTTCTTTGCAATAGAGGCCCGGATTGGTAAGGCAGTAACGTAAAGGATGTAAATTCAACAATGAGATGACTTCCAAAAGCCCCCTCTAGTAAAGAGGACACAGACTCACCTGTGACTTTGTCCCGTCCCCACCCCCTCAGCCTACAATGAATAGTGGGGCTGACGCTGACTCTTCAGGACACCTCTGGATCATCGAAGGCAGAGTCTGGGACACTCCAGCTTCTGCAGAATATTCAGTGTAGTTTTAGAATGCCTCTTAACTCTCCTGTTACCCAGCAGAATTTACTACACACGTGCTCTGGTATCTTTGAAAAGATTTCCTTTCCAAAGTACACAGACACATATCTGCACAGGCAGATTTAACATAAAATCAAACTGAGCTCTGAGGGGACAAACACAGGCCACATGAGGCGGCAGGAGGATGCTCTCAGACACGTCTCAAAAGTAAGGTGCACTAACCAGCAAGGGCTTGACAAGCCAACTTGACAGAACAGGACAGGGTGGCCACCCACAATGAGGCCCAAAGGGTAACTGACCTGCAGCTGGGAAGCCCAAACCTCCAGGGCCACCCCATGTTGCACAAGGCTTGCACCCCTTGCCACCTCTAGGGAGAAACAGTGGCTGGGCCCCTGGTGTCAGGAGGACAGCCTTGTTTTCAGACCTTTTCCACCTGGAATCACATGAGTGTGTTCATTAAAAAGATAACTATTATGAAGGATTTGGATAGTGGGGGAGGCTTTGCTGGGGGCAGGGGGGTG